AAAAAAAAAAAAAAAAAAAAAAACTTCTTGTAGGTGTTAAACTTATACAGTCCCAAAGAGAAAAAAAAGGTGATAAATCTTCATAAACCCTGGCTAAGTACCCTCTTCCTACACAGGATGCTAAAACCACAATTAACAAAAGAAAAACAAAAAAATTGGAAGGAAGCCAACAAAATTTAAAAAGTCTGCATACACCAAAGAACAACATCAAGAGAATGAAAAAGACAAGGCTGAGACAGTTAGACTATATTTGCTAAACATATCTGATAAAGGACTTGTATCTAGAATATATAAAAGAACACTTACGAGTCAATAATGAAAAGAGAAGCAATCATGGCCTGAGGTTGTGGCTCAGTGGTAGAGCGTCTGCTGAGCATGTGTGAAGTACTGAGTTCGGTTCTCAGCACCACAATTTATTAATTTATATAAATCAATTAATAAATAAAAGCCCATCAACAATTTTAAAATTTTTTTTTTTTAAAAAAAAGAGAGAAGCAATTAAGAAATGAGCAGAGGATCTAAATAAACATTTCTCCAAAAAGATGTATCACTATGGAGAATAGTTTGGCAGTTTCTTAAAAGGTTAAACAAAGAATTTCCATATTATCCAGCAATTTTACTCCTTGGTATATACCAAAAGAATTGAGAAAGGAGATTCATATATTTGTTTGCTAATATTCATAGCAATATCATTCACAATAGCTATATGCTGGAAATAACGCCAGGTGATCATCAATAAAAAACTGGAGTTGGGGGCGCTGGGGTGTGGCTGAGTGGTACAGCACTTGCCTAGCATGTGTGGCTCCAGGTTCAATCCCCAACATAGAGCAAATAAATAAATAAATAAACAAACAAACCATGGTGATAGACATACAGTGAAATATTATTCCGTCATAAAAAGAAAAGGCTGGGGGTATAAGCTCCATGATGAAGTAGGTATGTGCTTAACATGGGCAAGGCCCTGGGATTCAGGCCCAGCAAAGAAAGAAAGGAAGGAAGTTCTAACGCATGATATAGCATGGATGAACCCTGCAACATGATGCCGTATGACATAAGCCAGAAATAAAGAACAATTGCGTTATCATTCCATTTCAGGAAGTATCTATAATTGGTAAATTCCCAGAGACACAAAGTAGATTAGAGTTGCAAGTGGCTGGGGGAGGGGCAATTGGTAATTGTTCAGTGGACATAAAGTTTCTGTTTAGACTTTTTTTGTGTTTATGTGTAATTTTTTAGTTCTAAGTGGATACAATTTTTTTTTAATGTTTTATAGTTGTAGATGGACAGAATGCCTTTATTTGTTTTACTTTTATTTGGTGCTGAGGATCGAACTCAGTACCTCAGTGCCTAAGCGAGTGCTCTACCACACTGAGTCACAACCCGGCTGCTCTGTTTAGATTTTATCACAATCAAAAGGTAAACATTAAAGCAGAGATTTGGGAATAAATTCTTTAAAGTGCAAGTCTTGTATAGTGAGAACTATAAAGTTTTATTCAAAGATATTAAAGAAGAACTGAAATAAATGGAAAGAAACTCCATGTTCATAGATTGGAAGACAATATTGTAAGGTTGTCCAGACTCCCCCAGTTACAGACTCAACTACCCTCAACTGCATTCTTTGCAGGAAGTGACAAGCTTAAAATTCATATGACAATGCAAGGAATCCAGAATAGCTCAATCTTGGAAAAGCAAATTGAGACTCATGTTTCTGGATTTCAAAATTTAGTAAGCCACAATAACCAAGATTGTTTGGTACTGACATAAGGATACACACATAAATCAATGGAACAGAATTCAGAGTCCAGAAATAAAGCCTCACATTTGTGCTCTCATACAATTTTTTTTTCCCCAGTACTTGAGGGGAGAAAAAAAAGGTGTTCTACCACTGGAGCTTGAGGATGTAGCTCAGTGGTAAAATGCTTACTATTAGCATACACAAAGCCCCGAGTTCAATCCCCAATACGGTGGGGAAGGGGGACACTTTTATTATCTACTGGTCACCCTCTTAGGTTCTTTTTTGTTTTTGTTCTTTGGTGCTAGGGATTGAACCCAGGGCCTGGTGCATGCAAGGCAAGCACTCTACCAACTGAGCTATATCCCCAGTCCTCTTAGGCTCTTTGAATGTTTTGTGACTACTAAAACTAATGCATCCCATTTCATGCTTTCTTACCATTTCTGTTTCTCACTCACCTAAATCTATAAGTATATCTTTAAAATATGGCTTAAAAAAAGGAACAATAACTCCAAATATATACTTCTAAATTTAAGATTATACCAGGTATGGCAGCACATGCATATAATCCCAGTAACTTGGAAGGCTGAGGCCAGGAAGATCACAAGTTCAAAGCCAGACTGGGCACCTTAATGAGACTCTGGCTCAAAACAAAAAATAGCCTGATAATCCCAGCGGTTTTGGAAACTGAGGMAAGAGGAACACAGTTCAAAACCAGCCTCAGCAACTTACCATGGCCCTAAGCAACTTGGTGAACCCCATCTCAAAATAAAAAAAGAAAGGGCTGGGAATGTGGCTTAGTGGTTAAGCACCCCTGGGTTCAATCCCCAGTACCAAAAACAAAAATAAATAACAAACAGGTAGTCAACAAAAGAGCGAGCCCAGCAACAAAAGAGCCATCCTTATTCTTAAATAATTTTTTTARTGGTAATTGGACACAATATCTTCATTTTATTTATTTATTTTTCATGTGGTGCTGAGGATCCAACCCAGCGCCTTGCACATGCTAGGCAAGCACTCTACCACTGATTCCCCAACCCCAGCCCAAGAGCCATGCCTATTCTGAACAGCTTTGAAGCTATATCAAACCACATCAGGGGTTAAATGGCAAAGATTCTATGATTAGATAATAATGTTTTCAACTTTSCATGAATCGGCAATTTTTTTTTTTATACCAGCGATTGAACTCAGGGACATGTGGCCACTGAACCACGTCCCCAGCCCTATTTTGTATTATATATAGAGACAGGGTCTCATGGAGTTGCTTAGCAGCCTCGATTTTGCTGAGGCTGGCTTTGAACTCGTGATCCTCCTGCCTCAGCCTCCTGAGCCGCTGGGATTACAGGCGTGCGCCACCACTCCGAGCGGAATCTGTAAGAGGATCCACAGCTCTCTTCAGATTTTCAGATGCACAGCGTATTGCAAATGCCCCATTAATATTTGAATAAATGAAGGGAATCCACAGCAAGTAAAAGCCAGTGCACTACCCACCAGTGGCTCTTTTTTCTTTCATCACTTTCAAACTCCAGAATCATGCCAAAAGTGTCCTGAGTTTTGTGCTGCAACAATCATCTGTAATTGCTTTTCTGAATAGAATACAATAACACAACAAAGGTCTTACCTAGATTGGTGAACCCATCCTGGAGGGCCCATAATCGAGCCCAAGGGGCAGGGGCAGGTTCCTCGGGTTCTTGGTCCTCGGGAATAGAATAGAGTTCCTGAGTGGACACTGTCTCTAAGGAGCTTAGCGTCCCGGAGCTGGAGTGAGAGGACTGGCTGGAGGTGGGTGCCGTGCTGGTAGAAGAGCTGGATGTGCCTTGGGACTGTGAGGACCCGTGGGATTGTGGGGAGAGGACTTGGGACTGAGTGAAGCCACCTTGGGATTGTGAAGAGACACCACTGGCGTGAGCCTGAGGGGAGGTGCTGCTGTGGGACTGTTGACTCTCTGCATCCGTCTCTCGAGACATCACGACTTCAAAAAGTGTCCAAAAATAAGGTGAATTTCAAGGAACAAGGCTTGAAGTTCAAGAGTCAAGAATGGACATATTACAGTGACAAAAAAGAAAAGAAAAAATCCAGGTCAAGCATGCTCTGCAAAAATTAAAATCCTAATAGTCCGCTTCTGGTTCTTCTGGGTTGGGCTTTTCATAAGATCACTTTCACTGAATCAGCATTTTGTCTAACAGCTATAAAGCACAAGAGAAAATATCAATATATATATATATATATATATATAAATAATTTGAAGATTACAGATACACAAAAAACAATAAAATTGAATTGGGAGGCTCATAAAAAATTCCATGCATCCAATTATTGAAAATTAGGATACAAATGTATTAATACATATCAATAATGCATTTAAATTTCATATACGCTTTGAAAGGAAAAGAAAAGAAAGGGTCAAGGGACATGGAATACAAGACTGATAAAAAGAAACTGTACAGTAACTCCCTTTACCACTTTAAGGAAATCATTTGCATAAAATGTCTGTGCCCCTTATACCCATGGTATTCTCCAGTAGGGTTGGAATTAAGTCCTATTTGTTCAGTCTAGGTTCCCTGACACCTAACTAAGGGTAAGTTCACATAATGAGGCAGAACCCAAAGAGGACTGCTCTAGACAAATCCACCTAACCCTTTTTTCTTTTATTTCTCAGTTGGAGTTGAACACAATACCTTTATTTAATTTTATTTTTTATGTGGTGCTGAGGATGGAACACAGGGCCTTGCACATGCTATGCAAGGCGAGCGCTCTAWGGCTGAGCCCCAGCCACAGCCCAACATAACCTTTTTGATGCTAACTAACACGTGGCTCAAAGTTGCAAACACTTTCCAGCCTTGATGGAATCTTAAAGGAATGATTGGATCACAGGATAACAGAGCCTCTGACCCTTTAATTCACTTGATAGACTCTGAAAAACAGAATCACCAGTAAAGCCAAAGAAAATTTCAATGATCTAATCAGATTTTGTTTTTCAAAATAAAAAGGTACATTTCCTCCAACCCACACTCTGGGCCAGTAAAAAGCTATACTCATACTAACTGYATTTACATAGCTTTGGAGATACAAAGGTCCAGATGGTTATCCTTCAAACATATTCAGGAAAGTTGATGCCATGGCRGAATCTACTACTCCAGGACCTGCTGGTCTAATACTGCCTCAGCCAGGCTGAATCCCTCTGATGCTTCCCTGTGCCCCTCCCTCCAAAGCTGGGGAACCCAGGACATCATACATGCTAAGCATGCACTCTTCAACTAAGCTACATCCCAAGCCCCTCTGCAGTTTTGTTGAGCAATACTTCTCCAGCCTGACAAGTAGTGAGCTTTCAATAAATCACCTCTCTGACCTGCTTCCTCATTTGAAAAAAACAGATGAACCGTGAAGATTAACTGAGGTAATGCATGTAAAGTTCCTCCCCTCATAATGTTTGCTAATGAAGAGCTATTTTTAATGGAAGACCAGTGGTGAGTGAAAAAACAAAGTAACCAAAGCAAATCTATAAGACTAGGAACAGAATTCCAGTCCCAAGGAAATCAAGGGGCCTTCCGAATGCCAAACAACCTTTCTTTCAAATAGAGAAACTGAGTCCCAGCGAGGACTGATCCTCTCCTATCCATTCCTTGCCACCCCATCCCACACACTTAACTTATGAACACTGAGAATAGCCTACTAACTGCGTTTCCAGTTCCTGCAGCGCCTAGCAGTTAAGGTTGGGTTCTCAAGAAGTATTTTTTTAGAGATTGAATCTAAAGAATGGCAATAATTACTAATGTTTATAGAAGTCTTTACAAAGTAACTCCGCTCTGGTATTGAGAAGCACAAGTCTGTTCTTTCTCATCCTGTACATTCAGGCCTGTTTCAACTCGTAGTAAGAGGGAAAGTAAATTTCACCTCGAAGATTAGCTACAAAGGAAGAGTGTCGCCCACGCGCTCCCCCCTCCAGATCAAAAAAAAAAATCCAGAAATGCGGAAGCTCGGGGGACTCCCCTTGCTARGACCCTAGGAATGGGATTCGAACCCGCAAGCACCCAAGTTAAGTTTTCCACTATGACTCACCGCGTGAGCCCACCTGAAGCCGCAAATTTTCCGCAGCCGAAGCCAGCAGAGTGGCGCTAAACCTGCAGATACAAACTCCACCCTCAGCCAATCAAAATACCCCCCGCCGCAGCCCGACCAATGAGGAGCAGCGGATGTGACCACCGCGTGTGGCCTCAATGCTTACTGGGAATTGTAGTTTAGAACGCAAGCGGAACTCAGCGTCCAAGTTCCCCCCAGGAGACCTCGCCCCCTCAGCTCTCCAGCCAATCAGCAGCACTCGTGTGTGCGGCCACGCTTTCGGCTTTTCTCCCCAACAGGTGACCGCGGCCAGATAGGCCACGGGCCAGATGTGGGGTGGGAGGGCCCAGGTGTTGTTTCGGCTATGGGGGTTGCGGCCCGCAGGGGTCCCCGGAAGGAGAGTGTTAAGCTGCCATGCTGCGTCGGAAGAGGGAAGCGGTTCGGCGAGGTGTTGGAACTGCGGCAGCCCCGGGCGGGGGGACGGGTTCTTCTGCCACCAGTGCCGAGCGCTGCAGCCGCCGGACCCGACTCGAGACTACTTCAGCCTCATGGATTGGTAAAGGAGGTCGGGACGGGAGAGACGTCGGGGGCTGGCCTGCGTGAGAGGAGGGCCGTACGGGCTTGGGAGTGGGAAGGCCGGGCTGCTAAGATAGTGGGTGGAGCCCTAGAGAGCGAGGTCGGGGAGGGGTCTCCAAGAGGAAACTGAGGGGCGGGGACTAAGGGAAGGGGCGTTTGAGGATGGAGAGGAAAGGGGAGGGGCGGGAAATGGAGGAAATCGAGGGTGACTGGGGAGGGAGACTTGAGGGGCCAGAGCTTCCTGACTGAGAAGGGAAGATGAGAGGCCGAACTTGAGAGAAGGGAAAGGCTCCRGAAGTTGGAGCTGGGTTGAGACTTTTAAAAAAGAAGTATGGAAATGGAGTCCAAGATTAGAGAGTGAGGGTCAGAGATGTGGCCTTTGTCTAGCATGCTTGATGCCCTGGTGTTCGATCCCCAGCACCAAGGCSGCTTTACTGTCTTTATTACTCATGGGAATAAAGACAGAAAAATGTTGTTGGCAAGCTCCAAGGACAAAATGGAAATTGGAAGAAGAGGGTCCAATGGGGTTTTTCATTATTCTGAAGATTGAGTAGCCTGGAGAAGTGAGGGTAGAGCTGAACTGGTAAGCAAGTAAGGCAGGTTCTGGGAGTTGGAAGAGAAGGAGATTGGGTTAAAGTGGGAGACAGGGATGAAGGAACCTGCACGTTGGAAAGATAGRTTAGATTTCAGAATGCCCCTTCCCCTAATCTGTTCCCACCAGTCATTGAGCACTTATGATGGGCTGTAGTAACCCGACTTTTTAAGTTGTCAAGTTTCCAATTTGTGTTTGTGTGGAAGGGGGTGTACCTGGGATTGAACTCAGGGGCCCTCGATCACTGAGCCACATCCCCAGCCCTATTTTGTATTTTATTTAGAGACAGGGTCCCATTGAGTTGCTTAGTGCTTCGCTGTTGCTGAGGCAGACTGAATTTGTGATCCTCCTGCCTCAGCCTCCTGAGCTGCTGAGATTATGATTGCCTGGCGTGCAGCACCAGGCCCTGCTAAGTTTCCAATCTTGCCTCCCATCTCAGAGTCTTTGCACTTGAAGTTCTCTCTGCTGGATGACAGTTTCCTCTGATCTTTGATTAATCAGCTGTATCATTCAGAATTTAGCTCAAATGTCATCTCTCTCCACACATTGCCACCTTCTCTGACCCTGTTCAACTTTCCTTCATAGCACCTACCACTTTTTGAAATTCTCTCTCTTCATGTTGATTACATCTTCCCTATAAGAGCCAGTCTCATAACATATAAATCTATAAACATCTGTGACATGAATTTTATCTCCCAATTTCCTTCTAGCAACCGTTCCTTCAGAGTTAACACTACAAAACTCCAGCACAGGTTTCAGCAACTACAGCGTCTTGTCCACCCAGATTTCTTCAACCAGAGATCTCAGGTAATTTATTGGCCACCCCAATATTCCCCAGACACATATACACTGGGTAGGTAGCAGTGGCCTGTGATTATGTGATTATCAGGGACAAAGTTAGACTACCAGCTCCACCCTGTGGCAGCGGGACCCCACCAAGCAGGCCCTAGAAATGTCATCCCCTCACATTGTTTGTCTGATTACATAGACAACTTAGAACTCATGAGCTAAAATTAAAGACCTCATCCAGCACCAGTCACAGAACACTTACGATGGGCTGTAGTAACCCAGCACCAGTTCTACTCTGGCCACTTCCTTAGGTGCCTGCGTATCAGCCTATTATAAARGTTTGTGAATGAGAAGGCAGATTTCAATGATAATAAGACTATCTTCTTCTCTATTAACAGACTGAAAAGGACTTCTCAGAGAAGCATTCAACCCTGGTGAATGAGGCCTATAAGACCCTGCTGGCCCCCCTGAGCAGGGGACTATACCTTGTAAGGTGATTTCTCAAGTCTTTTATGAATAACTTCCCCCTGTATTCAGCAGAAATGTGCTCGAGACCTTAGCAAGTCCAGGAACCCAGTGATATTTAGCCTCAGAGATCGTACACAAAGAAAAAAAAATATTATACAAGTGTACTTTTCCGAGTATTCTTTGTAAATCTTAATTGCCCCAATTGCATTGTTTTAATCATTTTCTATAAATTTCAAGGATTTGATAATGATAGTTTTTAGGGAAGAGTAACTTCAGGGTTTTTGTTGTTGTTGTTGTTTTTTCCTCCCAAGAACGTCTTAGAATCCAGAAAATTTTAAATAGAAAGTTTACAGACATCTATTTTAAATTCCAAGTGGAGGACTGTCTACCTCAGGGCCACACAATTCTAGGTAACATAAGGTGGGATGCTGTTTCAGAACTCCTGTCTCTGTTCAGGCTTTTGACAGCCTACCTCACACTTTCATTATTGAGACGGATCAAGTGTTCCCCATGAGTGGTATTTTATTCTGATGGGTAAACAAGATTTGCATGACTCTGGTCATAGTTTCTCTAACCAATCTTATTTTCCTTKCTCTATGCTTCAATAGCTAAAGCTTCATGGGATAGAGATTCCTAAAGGGACAGATTATGAAATGGATAGTCAATTCCTCATGGAAATAATGGAAATCAATGAAAAACTTGCAGAAGCTCAAAGTGAAGCTGCCGTGAAAGAAATTGAATCCACTATACAAGGTGAAAGAGCAAATGTTGAATGCATTTTATTGTTGTTATGCGTACATGTCTGGGATTAAGTTAAAAAATGGACATAGAGTACATGTTGGGTGTTGGGATTCTGGCTCAAGGGTAGAGCACTTGCCAGCACATTGTTCATAATAAGGAATCAAGGAATTTTTTTTTTTCCTTAATCATACTAAAACCAGTTTTGCTTGAAGTTAAACTTGCAACATCTCTAACCATGTGGAAGGCAGTTTTTTGTTGTTGTTGTTTTGTTTATTTTTTGGTACTGGGCATTGAACCCAGGAGTCAGGAGTGCTCTGCCACTGAGCTACATCCTCAGACCTTCTTATTTTTTGAGATAGGGCCTCACTGAGTTGCCCAAGCTGGCCATATACTTTTGATTCTCCTGTCTCAGTCTCCTKAGTAGCTGGGATTACAGGCATGTGCCAGTGTACCCAGCTAGAAGGCAGCCTTAAACCAAGAACATAATTATATTTTGTACATTGCAGTGATCTTTTTTACTCACAATATGATTTAGATACTATTTTTATCTCTAACAAGTAAAATGGGCTTCAGAAGTTGGCAGAAATATCCAAGATCACAAAGCAYAGGCACCCAAGGTCACAACAGGACAAACCTTGAAATTCTGACCTTCTGATYCTGAATGGGTTTGTTTCTTACTTTATTCCATAGTATATCTGTCAGGGTTTTCTAGAAAACCCATATGATACAGATAGGTTTATTTGAAGGAGTTGGCCTGAATGATTGTGGGGTCTGGCACATCTAAAATCTATAGAGTAGGCCAACAAGCTAGAAACTCAGGTCAAGTTTCTATGTTAAGTCTTGAGGGCTGGGGATGTGGCTCAAGCGGTAGCGCGCTCGCCTGGCATGCGTGCGACCCGGGTTCGATCCTCAGCACCACATACRAACAAAGATGTTGTATCCGCCGAGAACTAAAAAATAAATATTAAAAAATTCTCTCTCTCTTTAAAAAAAAAAAAAAAGTCTTGAAGCAGAATTCTTTCTCTGTTTTTATACTTAATGTGTTTACTTGATTGGAGGACATCTTCCCACGTTACCAAGGGTAATCTTTACTTAAGTCAACTGAGAGTTGAGGATGTAACTCAATAGTAGACACTTGCTGAGCTTGGGAAAAGCCCTGGGTTTGATCTCCAGGACTGCAAAAAAATAAATACAATAAAGTCAACTGATTATAAATATATATATATATWTTTTAATGTTTATTTATTTTTTAGTTGTAGTTGCACACAATACCTTTATTTATATGTGGTGCTGAGGATCGAACCCAGGGCCTCGCACATGCTGGGTGAGCACTCTACCACTGAGCCACAACTCCAGCCCCATAAATATTAATCACATAAAAAACACCTTCACAGTATCATCTAGACCATTGTTGTTATTGTTTCCCAGTACTGGTGGTTGAACCCAGGGATACTTTACCACTGAGCTATATCCCTAGTCCTTCTTATTCTTTTTTTTTTTTTTTTTTATCTTTATTTTATTTATTTATTTTTATGTGGTGCTGAGGATCGAACCCAGTGCCTCATGCATGCAAGGCAAGCACTCTACCACTAAGCTTCAACCCCAGTCCCCCTTTTTATTCTTTATTTTGAGACAGGTTCTCATTAGTTGCCCTGGCTGGCATTGAACTTGTGATCCTCCTGCCCCACCCTCCTGTGTAGCTAGCTGGGTTAGAAGTATGTGCCATCAAGCCTTGTATAGACCAGAGTTGATCAACACCCAAGCACCATAGCCTATCCAAGTTGACACATAAAATTAACCATTCCACTTAGAAAAGACTCCCAGGTTTTCATACAGATTATATGTGCTTATGCACTTTTTCAAATATTTATAGTCTGCCTACTATGTATCAAGCACTATAAATGACGTAGAATATAGGAAGGAACAAAACAGACATGGTCTATGTCCTCATGAAGTTTATATATTCTAACCCAGCATGTTTAAACTGAAAGTTATGTGTCTCCTTTCTTTGCCTTTCCACCAAATCACCTGTGCCTCTTCCAGTGTTCCCTCTGTTACATGAGTGACACCATATAGCTGAACAATTATAAACCCTTAGCAGATATCATAACAAGTTAATTCTCTCTTCCCTTCATAATCAATCCATCACCAAGCCTTAAAGAGTGACCTAAATGTGTCTCATCCATCCCACCCATCACTATTTTCACTGCTACAACCCTGTTCCAAGTACCATTCCCTCTCACCTGGACAACTGCAGTAGCTTCTAACTGGTCTGTCTGCCAGATTTAAATATTCCTGTCATTGTGTAATCTTTTTGAAACCCAAATTAATCACCATCCTTGGCCTTCTTAAAAAGCTTTAAGTGGTTTCTCACTGTCCTCGKGTTTAAAAGTAATTTTTATTTATTTATTTTTTTAGGCAAGGTCTCACTATGTTGCCCAGGATGGTCTTGAATTTCTGAACTCAAATTATCTCTTCCTACCTTGTCTCCTGAGTAACTTTTTTTGGTGGGGGGAGTAACTGGGGATTGAACCCCGGGAAGCTCTACCACTRAGCTATATATCCAGCCCTTCTTATTTTTAATTTTGAGACAGGATCTCACTAAGCTGTCAGCGGTGGCCTTAAACTTGTGATCCTTCTGCCTCACCCTCCTGAATCACTGAGATTATAGGTGTGCACCACCACATCTGGCAAAACCAAAATCTTCAGCATGGCTTATAAGACGCCATATGCTCTGGCCTCTTCTCCATTTTGTCCGCTTCACTATAGACACAGTGGCTTCCATTTCCTCATCTGTACCAGGCACTCTCCTATTCCAGCGCCTTTGCATATGTTGTTTTTGCTGCCCAAAATCCTCATCTCCCCCAGACCCCATCTAAGTTAACCCCTTCAGATCTGGGAGCAGTCACCACTCCTCAGAGAAGCCTTTTTTGACCTCTGTACCATTTTGACCTCTATACCTCTCCTATTTAAGATTAATCACAGTTATAACTATACATTTCTGTGTGACATTATTTGAACAATATTGATCTYCCCACTAGATTTCTAAAGAAGCAGAAATTGTGCCTGCTTTTTTACTTTCCCCACATCTTCAGCTCACACTACAGTACTCAGAGCATAACAGGAACTCAGGAAATATTTATTAAATGAGTGAATAATAGCAAAAAAAATTAAAGACTATAAAATAGAAGTTGTGGGGCTGGGGATGTGGCTCAAGCGGTAGCGCGCTCGTCTGGCATGCGTGCGGCCCGGGTTCGATCCTCAGCACCACATACAAAAAAAAAAAAAAAGATGTTGTGTCCGCCAATAACTGAAAAATAAAATGTTGAAATTCTCTCTCCATCTCTCTCTTCTATCTCTCTAAACAAAAAAAAAATAAATAAATTTAAAAAAAAATAAATAAATAAAATAGAAGTTGTAGTGAGGAGACTGTCAACTGTTTTAATAGCATTAGGACTGGGTGATGTACAGAAAGGAGAGACCCAGAGCATACAATCAGAAGGGCTTGCTGCTTCAGAAAGCAAGGCAGCATGAAGCTCTGAGGGGAAGGAGACGTGGGTCTATTGCCACCACTGCTTCTGACTTTTTTATGTGACCTTGAACAAGTGACTTCATGCATCTTGGCCTCAGTTTCCTCATCCATAAAACAGAAACTATTAGTACTGCTTGTTATAAGGAAATGAGGTAAAGATTAAAAAAAGCGGGTCACACACTTAGTCTAGTTCTTGACTTCGAGCAAGTAGAACGGACCTTGATTTAGATTTAATTCCTACATTTCCTCCCCAGCTGGTACCAGTCAGGCCTTATTAAGTAAATGTACAAGGTCACAGAACCAGTTAGTTTTGGGATCAGKACTTCAGAGCCTGTGGACTTACCGTCCAGTGCTCTTTCGTTGATGCCAGTTGCTATTCAAGAGGCAAGATTCAAACACTGGGCTAGAAGTCAGGTGCCTGGGCTTCTTTTCTCAGCTCCTGCAGTTCCCAGTCATGGGACAATTCCCTCCCTACCTATCTTTAACTACCTTGGTAATATGATGTATTTCAAAGTTCTTTGAAAGAAGGCACTGTATAAATGATTGGTATTATTTATATCTGGAAAACTCGGTAATTTTTAAAATTCCACATTTTCTAATGAAGAAGCAAAAGAAATATGAGATAGCTTCCTAACATACTTGGTGTGCCCTGCTGATAGGTGATGCTCAGGTGTTAATTTTTTCACTGAAATCTGGAAGACTACTTGTTGGAGGCAATGAGGCATATCCTTGTCCCCTGTGTTAGTCAGCTTTCCATCTCTGACAAAATACCTGAGGTTATCGGCTTACAAATTTAAAAAAAAAAAAAAAAAAAAGGCTTATTTTGGCTCACAGTTTTAGAGGTATCAGTCTCTTGGGGAGGAGATTACTAGAAATTGAACCCAGGAGTGCTTGGCCACTGAGCCATATCCCCTGCCTATTTTGTTTTTATTTTTTTATTTTGGTACAGGGTCTCGCTAAGTTGCTTAGGGGCTTGCTAAATTGCCGAGGCTGGACTCAAATTATTTTCCTGCCTTCCGTGTTGCTGTAGGTACAGGCGTGTATTTCCATGCCCCGTTGAAAGTCTACGTTCATGTTTGGTTGACCCAACTGCTCTGGAGGCCCATGGTGAGGCAGCACATCATGGCAGAAGGATACAGTGGAGGAAGCTACTCCCCTCAGAGAAACCAGGAAGCAAAAAGAGTGACCCACAGTGGCCTAATTGCCTTCCACTAGGCCTCGCCTCCTAAAAGTTCCACCATTTTCCAATAGGCTAGTGACCAAGCCCCTAACACATGGACCTTTGGAAGATTCTTATCCAAACTATAGCACTCCTCCTATCCCTTTTTTTTTAATTTGATTTCCTACAATTTTATAAGCCTCAGCGATTGCCTCTCAGACCTTCCATGGGCTAAAAAACAGTGTAACCTAGTATAGTGGCACACACCTGTAATCAGTAGCTCAGAAAGCTGAGGCAGGAGGATCACAAGTTCAAAGCCAGCCTCAGCAACTTAGCAAGATTTTATCTCAAAATAAATATAAAAAGGGCTGGGGGGCTGGGGATGTGGCTCA